TTTGGGAAGTGCTACAAAGCATTTGTCCAGTATTTATGGGTTTTTCCCTGGCTCCATCTCCTTCCCCCCAATTTTAAGGTTGCAAATTTTAAAAAATTGTTGATGATTTGGGCAATGCAACTTCCACAGCTTATCAGAAAGGCATACATCTAAAAAAAATGGAGTTGTAGGTCCATTCCACTTTATCTGTCTGGTCGAGCCATTCCCGGTCTGGTTGGTACCATCATGGGCCTGGATGGAGGTCTCATCATTGGTGGCCCTGGCATCATTGGCATATGTCCTCCCATGGGTGGTCTCATTCCTGGTGCTACAAAAGCAGAGAAAACATCAAAACATAAAGGAATGTACTACTAATTTATAGCCCAATATGTCACAATGTTTATCAAAATTGTAGTGAAAAAGTCTCTTTCAATTTCTGTGGAGAAGTTTCTATGTTTTCTTTACATTTCGCAACACAAAAGCAAATTCCAAAAAAATATTATAGGTGGTTTCCAAGATCTTATAAATCTCTGCAGAACCAACATATTGTTTCATATCCTTGCACAAGGATGCATATCTATGTGTTCTTTCAAATAATATCCCTCTCTATCTGTGGCTACTTACATTCTATTATGCACTTTTCTTAAGGTCTTCCTCAAGAGATTTTCAGTGCAAATACAAAGAACTTCACAGGGAAGGCAACAACAAGAAAGCTACATTCTATGAATGGAACCCTCTTTGACAGAGAAGATATTCAGACCCAAACTACTATTTTATACATTTATTTAAATTATGGTAATACATTATTTAAAAAACAAGCTCTAGATTGGATGTCTTCCATATCCTGATAATGCTCTCAAACGCCCAGAATTACAGTTTGCCACACCCATATATTTTAGGAGGCTGCAATGCAGGAAGTTGGTGTATGGAGAGGGACATTGCTGTGAGTGTGCTGGGTTGCTGCAGTGAACGGTTGCCATTTTCTGGCTTCAGAGGGAGAAAAGGGGTGAAGACGTCAGCTGGAACCTTCCCCAGGAGAAGCAAAGAACCAGACGGAGGGACGTGCTTCACCCAAAACAGACAGCCCTGTGAGGTAGACCAGATTAAGAAACAGATACCATGTGGGCCTAAAGTTATTATTACTAAAGTTATCATAGCTATAGTAACAGAATCTTGCAAGTCTGAATGTGCCTCCCCTCCTCTCTCTTTTATTTTCATGTGAATTGAGGGCGGGGGGGGGGCTGTCTGAGGTGGTTCATAAATCTCTTTTTTGGTATGGTCTCAAGCCACATTAATCTGACTGTTGTCTTGATAGCGGATCTTCCTTTAGACTCTATAGGAAAAGAGGGAGAAAGCTGTCTGGAAACCCCAGGAAAACCTCAGACCTGGAAGGGCTGGGCAAAAGACCCAGAGAGAGGCGCATCTCACAACATTAACATAGAGGGAAGGCTGTCGAAGCATGGAGAAAGTTTCTGAGAAAGTTTATAAGCATGCACTAAATTAAATCAGCCAATTTCCTTCTTGTCTCTCTCAGTGAAAAGCTGAGGGAAAGAGAGAAGCAGAAAGGAGGGAGTTAGTAGCTAAGTAACAGAGTGGATGGTTGCTAGCAAATAGCTCTGGGACAGAGGTAAAGAAAGTGAGGAGGGAGGAAGAGGCTTTGGGAATGACTTAGAAAAGGATGTTTCACTGGATCTTCAAAAGAAACTGGTTAAAAATTTAAAAGGGAAATACAGATGACAAACCAAGAGAATGACCTGGATAATTTTTTTCTTTATTGGATTTACAAAAGGGGCTTCCTGAAGCTTTGAAGAACTCTGTGCGATGGGACAAAGAAGTAATGAAGAGAAATCAAATCCATTGTACACAATATTTGAATGAACTAAACTTTAAGACTGTCAGAAGTAAAAGGAATATAAAGTTGGTTTATTTGATCAAGGGTAAAATAAGATATGTTGTTACTTCTGTCAACCCTTTATGAACTTTCTGCTGACACCAGGACTGAAAAGGTGATGTTTTATGGATTTTATAGATAAGAGATGGGATATAGGATGAAGAGATAAATGTAACCTTAGAGGGGTGTAAAGTCACTAAATTTGTTTACTTGTTGTGATGAAGGTTGGAAGTTGTTTCTTTATATATTTCTTTTCTCTTTATTATATTCTTACTTCTCCTTTTTTTCACCTTTAACACCTTCTCTTTTCTTTAAGTTTAGTTTGTATATAGATTTTATTTGTATTATCTATATCTATATATCAAGAGCTATTGCTCCATTACAACTGCCTCAACCAATTTTCTATATGCTCTGTCTTGCTATCAATAGTCTACTCAGATTATTCTGAAATAAAACAAACTCTTCTAAAGCTTTTATTGCATGTTTATTACCTAGGAAGCCCTGGTAATGGCCTAAACCCAGAGCATGAAAGATCAAGAACAAGAAAAGAACAAGAAAAATTGTTGATACCTCTTTAGAATATACTAAAAAAAATGTGTCTTCTTCTTTTCAGAATCCCACCCAATAATTGAAATAGCAAAACAAGGTTAAGGATTATAAGACAAATAGAGAGGCAAGAAGGAAAGAAGGAAGGAAGGAAAATATAAGAAAGAAAGAAAGAAAGAAAGAAAGAAAGAAAGAAAGAAAGAAAGAAAGAAAGAAAGAAAGCCATAAAGTTTTAGCCTAAACTTCCTTCCTTCTCTAAACATAAATAAATTATATCACAATTTAATAACTGAGAGAAGCTAGTAAAGTAATTGAAAATAACTTCAAATAAAGATGCCTGAAAATAATTATTCTAGAAAAGAAATACTGGAAGTTTCTCCTCTAATCCTTATCTTTATTTCTAAACTTTCTAGGTCATCCTTCTGTAATGGCACTGGCATACTCCTCTGTCTTTTTCATGGGAATTTCCTGTGGTAATCCATAATATACCAGTTCTTCTTCTGCTATGGCACAGTACAAATCTTGATCCCTGATAGATGTCATTATCCATCTTTTAATATGCAGGTTTGTGGTTCCAGAAAAAGGATGTAATGTAGAACACCTAGTCCTTTATTATACACATCTTCAGAATAGAAGAAAGTAAGCATTTAACCTACCAGGTCCAACTGGCATCATTCCTGGAGGAGGTGGTCCCATCATGGGCATCATTGGAGGTCCACCCATATGGGGTGCTGGCATCATACCAGGCCGTGGTGGACCAGCTAAAGTACAAAAAACAAATATGTTAATCAGTCTTGTATATCAGTTCAATAATTCAGAAAATGTACAGGTAGTCCTCAACTTACAACCATTCATTCAGCGACTGTCTGAAGCTATGACAGTGCTGAAAAAGGAGACTTAAGACTGGTTCTTGAAGTTATGGCCATCCCAGCACCCCTGTGATCACATGTCGTCACTAAGCAATGCGGTCGTGCTTTATGACAGCATCACTCAGTGAAGGAAATTCTGGTCCCAATTGTCATCGTTAAGTCTTTAACAAGACTACTTGTTAAAACATTTTAGTTTTGTAAAGTTTATGTACAAATAGCAAGTGCCTACTGGATCATAACTTATTAAGAACAGGAGGAATGTTCTTTAAAATGAATAACCAACTAATATTAAAATAAAAATAGTATGCTATTCTACTAAGAGATTTCCATATAATAGATTTATCAGAGATAAAATACCAATATTCATACATACGGATATTAGGTGGTGGTGGTATCATTGCTCCCCCAGGGGGAGGAGCAGAGAATGGGGTAGGTGGGATTTTGCCTTGCTGAAATGCAGCCGCTGTATTAATGAGAAAAAAGGGGGAGATATATACATATTAATTAACAGAATACTGGAAAATTATTTTTTTCTAATCTTTGTACAAAATATACAGTGCAACTGTGTAAAGTTCTCAAATCATTCACCTTTTCAGATTTACAATTGTCTGGATTTATTTCTCTCAGAGAAAATATTTAATTTCAAAAGCAGTTCTGTCAAATTCATCAATTTTAAGGGATCATATTTTCAAGTATAAAAATAAGAGAATACCACATAATACACAAACACTTTTTCCAGTGCAGGTTGATACATATTCTGTGAGACTTATTCCCAGCTAAGTTTAAAATCCCAAATATATTTACTAGCAAGCTGCAGTGAACACATTAGGATCAACTTCCATGTAAATATGCATGAAAAAACTGAAAGCAGTGAATGAATAAAATAGAGTTGCTTTCCAAAACCTCAAACAAGTTTGCCAATGTGTTCAGCAAATTTCAAATTAAAAGGAATAATTTTCTAAATACTTTAAAAGAAACGAAACCAAATAATTGTATCAGTTCAGTAGCAAGAGTACTGAATATTGCTTATAAAATACTAGCTATATCAAGGGTTTGCTTTTAGGTATTTTTCCACTATAATAGAACATTTATTCCTAAACAACACAGCCTATAAACGTTAAGAATCCAAGTTTCTACTACAGGAAGCTGTGGAAAGCATGGATCGTCTATAGAAGCTATGCAACAAGGTAAGGAAAGCATGTAGATTATGGCTTCTGAAATTCTTCCCAACCCCTTAATAGCAGTAATATTCTGGGTTATGTAACCAGCAAGGAGAGCTTAAAATGGAGGAGCTGGTGAGAGTCCAAGTTACTACCCAAATGCCTTTATCATAGGGAATGCAATGAAAGTCCATTGGAATTGGGTGGCTAATAAAGTCAAATAAATAAATAAATAAAATTATTTATTTATTTCTCATCAGCTCTCAGCTAGATCCAGCCTATTTTCAGAGTCTAGATTTCTTTTGCCACTTCTCCCCAACACTTAATTTGGTCCTATTCTTTATGGACCAAATTTATGTGCACCATAAATTGTCCACCAGTTTATGGACAGTTATTCTGCTGTCAAACACAATCCTGAACATATTTATATAATTTCTTTCTATCACTCGGTGTGATTAGAAAAAAATAAAAAGGTCTAAATAGTGCTCTGCGCTTCATGCCAGAGCTTCAAGATTGATAAATACAAAACAATACTTGAATGAATAAGACTTACTTGTTTTATCAATCAGGCTCTGTGCTTGTTCTTCCATCCATTTTTGATAATAATCTTTCACATTCTCTTTATGTTTCCTGCCACTGCAATGGGTTTTCCTCACAGATGGCTGGAAGAAAAAAAAACCCATTACTCTCCAAGCACCCATTACACTTATCAATCCAAGATTTATCTCCAATACATATTTCTGGTCACAAAGTAGCTTCCTAATAAATTCTCACTTAGCTTTTTAAATTTGCATTCATATTACATAAGTTCCATTTCCCTCTCTCATTGCCTTAATTATAACTGCAGTTAAGCACATATTTAAATAGTTGCAGCATGAGTATCTAAATTAATTCATTCTCCTGATCAGATCACTTCTTTGCAAATGAACACCTTCCTACAAAAATATTAAATGATCAGCTTTAAGTTTTATTTAATCTAAGGAATATAATTAGAAATAATACTTGAGTGGAAAAATAATTTTAAATTCCTGATCATAACACTGTGAAGCTTTCTACTTACAGAGTCATGGGTGAGGTAAGTATCACAATAATCACAATAAAACCTGAAAGACAAAACAAATATCCATAGGAAGTAGGAATAATTGCTGCTAACTTCAGTCAGCCAACTAATTTAGTTCTCTGCTTTTACAGTAAAAAACTATTAGTTATATTTTCTTCAAAAATATTAATGTTCAGTTGTATTTGTTTCAATTATCATGGCTATATCTGTGTGTATGAAGCAGTTCCATCAATAGCCTCTCCATAATGGTTTAGCAGTCCTAAAGATAAGATTTAGGAGAAAAAAATGTATATCTCATGTTTCTATAAATGAACAAAAATATGTGCATCAGTTAAGATCAGCAGTTTTAACAGCCAAGATCTAGCATTGTTAGACACAGCTCCTGGTTCTGGAAACATCAATCACACACAATTCACTTCAAGACATAGCCAAAATGGAAAGAGGCCTGCTATTAATATCTAATGCACTTGACAGTCAAGGACATTTATTTTCTTTTTTCCAAAAAGCGAGGTGGGGGGATAAACTTCAACTACAAATACTGGGGGGGAAACTAAAGCAATACTCAAACAGAAAGCAATTTCGCCAAGCAATAAGAAACACTATTCGTATTACAGAATCTGCTTTTTGCTTCTCTTTCAGAGCACATTTTCCCACCCACCAGTCCTGCGTTCATCGATCCCTTCCTCTCCCTGCCACCCACCACTTTTCATCCCTAAGCTCTCCAGTTCACTCACTTCGGCATGTTGCTTCCAGGCGATGCGCTTCCGGTCACCCAAAACGTTTATAGGAAATGACGTTTTTGTTGCGCGACTTGGTTTTACATACATAAACAGCGCTTCTGTTCTTCTATCGGTGCGACTTTGTCGGGTTATACAAAGAGCTGCCTCTATGGCAAACACTTTGTCGCAGGTGGAAAGTACTCAGCGATTATCACTCGTTGTACCTAAATGATATATGTGGCGCTGTACAAGTTGCGGAGGAATAGGTTTCTCCATCATATTCCTCTTTGTTTACTCCTTTCATGAACCCGTGGGTGTTTTGAAGTTCAATTTCCCTCATTCCCCATCAGGACAGTAATTGTGTGGGAACTGTAGCTCCCCCATTTCGGAGTACAGCTGGTTTATAGTTTACAGTTCAATATAAAGAAATGGAGCAGGGAGATTTGAAGTGCGAGTCCGGAGGGAAGAACTACTATAGAGTCCTTGGAGTCTCTCCTCTTTCGGAAGAACTCTCTTCTGTCGGAAGAACTATCAGTTGCATTATTTAAGCTCACTATAATAGGGTTTTGAGATTCAAGAGTTGTACCGAGTTAGTTGATCATGGATCGATTGGGTTATGCCCTATCGGTGATGTAATTCCCCCCCCCCCCAATTGTAGAACTAAGGGCTCTTGCTCCTTTTTTGTCTGCCATTATTGTTAAAAATCTCATGTCCAAATAGATTTTGCCTGTGGTAGACATATTGATTGGTGCAATAGTGTAGTTGTGATTACACTGGGAGCACAAATTTGCACAGGCAACTGTAAACTCTAATTGATAACCTTAACTCTAACCCATTTGGTGGGGAAAAAAGTGAGACAGCTGAAATAAGCAGATTTAATCAACTGGTGTGCAAAACTCATTGGCAGGTAAAAAAGGAACAAAAGCCAAACTAAATACATATAAAATTGTGGGCAAGCCTTTCAAACCTCCACATTTCTTTACCCAGCATATCTTAACAATATGGAGGTGGAGAAAAGGTTGGAAAATCCCTTACTTTTGCTAATGTTGAACCCTTTCAGGACTGGAGTAGAAGCCAGAATAGAACATGCCAGAATGGTCATTTTTAAAATAACACTGATACCAGAAATTCTGGGATAAGTTAGGTATAAGTGAGAACAATATTTAAAACATCTTTCAATATTATACTTTAATACTTAACACCTGGAAGCCATCCAGAACAGAATAACCAGTGACATCAATTTCCAAGTGAATCAAACCAGCCAAATTCACCAGAAACACAGAAGTAGAAAGGATTAAAGCATTAAGATCCAAAAACTTCAAGAACAACTATGTTCTACTCCCTGTTGCAACCAACATTTCATATTTCAGAAAGCTTTGACAGTCACCCAACACTAGAAGGATGATGTAGTAAACCCTGGATCTTCCACAACGTCTTTCTACCCATTTGGGGATTTTTGAATATTGCCTTCGACAATACATTTTTGAAATAACTGGCCAAAATACTGACTTCTCAGCCAGCCAATATTGGGGCTCTTTCTTATGCTTTCCTCCTGTTCATGAGTTCAAATGCTAACATTACTGCATTCCCCCACAATCTTATCTTGCTATTTAGGCCAGGCAGTGGGCAACCATATCAATCTCCCCCCCGCACTTCCAATTGGTTGGCTTGGCATTAGTTAATATGTAGTTATAATTCTTATGGCGTTGGTATTTGCATTATGCTATACATGAGGCTGCCCTTGAAGACCATCCGGAAGTTACAGCTGGTTCAAAATGCAGCAGTGAGAGCAGTAATGGCCAGTACTCGTCCCCATATGTCACTGCTACTATGCAAGTTGCATTGGCTATCAGTTGGCCCTAAGGTGATGGCTGTTACCTTTAAAGCCCTTCTGTACATTTGGGCAGAGTGGGTATGCTCCAGGTCCCTTCTGTTAAATGTTACCATCTTATGGGACTTAGGAAGTGTGCCTTTTCTATCACAGTCACCACCCTCTGGAACAGCATCCCTCCAGAAATACAGATGATGCCCATTCTTCTGGGGTTCTGAAAAGCTTTAAAACTTGGTTTGGTCCCTGGTGTAGGGTAAATGTGTTGGGGGAGGTTATTGTCATGTTATGTTTTACAGTATAGTGGTTGTTTTAGTTTGGGTTGTCTTATTTTGTTTATATTTTTAATTGTTTCAACTTTGCATTAGATTTTGTAAGCCACCCAGAGTCTAGTGGAATCTAATATATGGGATACAAATATATACTTATTTAGCATTTTAGTCAAATAATAATGCAAATAGTGATGCACTTACCTTGTATATAAAATTGTTTACTTGGAATGAATTACTTTTTGTTACTAGTCATGTAGCTACTATTTAGTGTTAGCAATTTAACTGCTTAACAATGAATCAGATGAATTAATTTGGAATACTTAACTTGGCATATGTTTCTTTATATAATTTATCCACCGCTTCAATTCCAGTGAACTCTAGGTGGCTTACAGATATTAGTCATATGTAACAGTAATAAATATAGCAAATTACACTTTATCATTAAAACTGAGTGAGAGCTTATTCATACTTCAAATATGAACTTCCACAATTGTTCAGCACAATGATTTATATAACAAACAAAATATTTAATCATTTATATGTTTATATTTATACTTTGGGTTTTTTTACTTTGCATTTATTTATAAATAATTACATGCACTGCCAATCCTTGTTTTTTTTTTTTAAGTGAAAATGTTAATTTGCTTTGTGTGATCAGTTCAAACTGGCCTGTTTGGCAAACCCAGATTATAATAAACCAATTACTGGACTCTTGTAAATATTTATGCACCATTACTTAGGAATAAGAAGCCTCACTAAATTTAATGGAACTTATTTCAGTTTAAACTGTATCAATTACCATAAGCTCTAAACATGTACTTATTTTATTTTTCTATGTCACAGTTAGGAATTTCACTGTGAAAAAAAAAGAACAGCCTTATTAATGACTAATAAACAAATTTGAGTGTGCAGTAAAACAGATGTACAAGTAGGTTTTCTAGATGGTTTGCTGTACATTAGCAATGGTTACTCTCATACTGTACTTTATAGAAAATAAAATTAAAACTTAATGATAAAAGATTGGTAACTTTTTTTTATGTTATGGTCTCATGTTTCTCAACTACAAAACATGAGTATTCATTTGTCTATAATGAGGTTTCCATTCAGCTTTTTTGTATCAGCCATGTCTGCCATGAAATACAAGATGCAACTGATTTCATAAGGTGCAGTTATCTGAACCAGTTTCTCAGCCATCTTTGTGGTAACCATGTATCCCATTCTTTTTAAATGTTGACCTATCCAGTGGCTCAGTCAGAAGAGGGAGGGGGAGGAAGAAAGAGACCATAACAATGAAACAAATTTTGTTGTTTGTTAGGCTTCCATCTCTGCGTCCAAAGGCCAGAAGCAAGTGTTCCCTTCCAGGTTCAGGCAAAATAGAAAAGGTGGGGTTAATTGAGAGATGGGCTCCAGTAGCCTATAATGTACTTTGCAAGTAAGAACTATGGTGATGGCCTAAGAGTTATGTGTTTGAATCCCTGATTTATAGAAATTCTCTCACACTTGTAGGATATAAAATATGATTCAGGAAGTGTAATTGATAACTGAATGAACTGCTAATTGCCCTCTTATTTGCACCTGACTCTGATTCACTGAGCTAAATGTCCTTCCTGTCCAAACAGAGAAAAAAACAGGACGCAACACAAAATACAGTAGAACCACAAGTATTTCTAATGACCTTCATTCACACACGGAAGCTAGAAATCCCACTGGACTCCGGGAAAGTCCCCGAGCAACCACAGGCAGGCTCAGTGCGACCTAAGGTTACTACTGTAGCTCAAATGTTTAAAAAAGTAAAGTCTCTCTTGAGCAGAACTCAGTTCCTGGGGATTTCGTGAACCTAACTGTCGGGTTTTCTCGGCAGCAAAAGGGAAGTAGTTTGTCACTGTCCCTTCCCAAGGAACCGTTTGAACTTCGCCCAGTCTACAGCCCTAGTATTCCCGGCCAGTCTTCCGTCCTAACTAAGCCCAACTCTACACAGCTTCCGAGCCCATAGAACTTCAGCCAGGGTTTGTCACCAACTGAGGCCCAGCGTGAAAAAAATTCGCTCTAAAATCAGCTCGCCTAACCTCTTTGCTCTTACTACATTGAGATGTTTGTATTTTGATCCCTCGAGACTGACGTCACCACGTTTGTGAAATCATGGTACGTGCTGACGCTACGCCACGGCGTCGGCGTGCTTTGCGTGCTGTTCGCTCGCTCGTTCTCCCTCCCCCCCCATGCAGCTTTGAGCAGGCGGCAGTGGCGGCTCACGGGCAGCCCGGGGCCTAGTGGAAGGGGCCGGGCTGGCGCGGGAAGAAGGGGTCGCGCCGCCATGGAAGGGATGGACGTGGATCTGGACGCCGAGCTGATGCAGAAGTTCAGCTGTCTGGGAACCACCGATAAGGACGTACTCATTGGCGAATTTCAGCGGCTCCTTGGCTTTCAGCTCAGCCCGGCTGGCTGCGCCTTCTTCCTGGACATGACGAACTGGTACACCGCTGGGAGGAGTGGGACGGGATGGGACCAGCGACGGGTAGTTGGAGAAGTGGGGAGGGCGGTTGCCCCGACGTGCTTTCTTGGGTGGGCTGAGCGAAGAGGTGGGAAACTCACTTTGCCAGGCCCAACTTGTTCGTCCGAGCCCCTCACTCGGGCTAGGGAAGTTATCCCGCTAAAGGAGCGCGGTCGAGGATTTGTCCACGGACTTACCCTGTGGGTGAGGAGTAATGTCAGGTGGAGCAGCTCTGTCAGATGTAAACAACCTTGATGTGACGCTTCTTCACTTGCAGGACAAGTCATACAGGTGCAGTCACCTTATCTGTAAAGGCGTCGTGTGAGGCCTTCTTTCATGTCTGATCAGGCTTCCTATTGGGTTCAAGTCCCGGTTTTTGTTCTACACATTTTAAAGTCTGTTCCTGGTAACTGGCTCCATCACATTGCGGGTTGTTTTTATCGTCTATTACTCAACCCAAAGACAACATTCTTCAACCTTTAAAAAAATTTTTTAAAATCTATACAG